AACAGCTGGGCACGCAGGAATCAGTCTAGGTCGGTGAAAACAAAGCCCTGGTTGGTGGGGCTGCTGTTCGGTCGGAAACTCACGGGTTTAGCAATCAGCAGACCGGTCGACAGTCAGCTGACCAACCAGAAGGTCTTCAGGCTAGCCACCGTAACTACAGCGGTACGGCTACTTCCGCCAAACTTCAAAATAAAATATAATAAAATATGTAACTTTTGGTTGAGGGTTAAGCTGAACCGGAAACTGCAGATTTAAAACACCTATATTTAACCCTTAATATCACAAATTCAGCTCAAATCTCAGATTTAAACACAAAAGCACCCCCCCCCTCTCACTGTACATCTATTTGCAGGATCTTTAGTGATGTTAATTACTTTTAATTTAGTTTTTCCTTTGAAAAGCACATGGAAACATTGCTATGAAAGCGGCTGCACAGCTACAGCCAGTGTGTGCTGTTCCTGCCTGCATGTACATCCTGCCACTATGTGTTGGACTGCCTCTGAGGGCTTTTTGAATATTCTGCACCTGGGGCCCTGTCTGGTGTGGTAGACTCCTGCTTTGATGGATCTGGTACTTACTGCCTGTTCTTGTGCAGCTGTGCTCAGTGCCTCAGTGCTGTCAGATAGGCCAGCCTTATCCAGCCACTGGTAGGATTTCCCATTGTCAGCCACCTCAGTTATCTGTTGGCAGTACATCCCATGCAGGGCCTTGTCATGCCATGGCACTCCCTCTGGTTGGTCTTCCTGTCTCAGTCTGTTGCTGTCTCAGACATTCTCTCAGTGGCTCGGCTCTGGGTGCCATCTTGTTGATGTACTCCTGGATGCTTGGGGTTTCACTCAGGACAGTGGCCTTGTAGCGGCTGGCGTACAGTCTCTGGGTGTTGGTCTTCAGATGGAAGCCTCCGTACATCATGAGGAGTTTCCGGGTCTTCACATCGGTAGCCTCCATGTCCTCCTTTGGCCAGGTCACTATGCCGGCAAGGTATCTGATGACTGACAGGGCGTATGTGTCGATGGCTTGGATCTTGTTCCTCCCATTGAGCTGGCTTTTCAGCACCCGTCTTATCCTTTGATGGTACTTGGACATTGCTGTCTTTCTTGCCTCCTCATCGTGGTTACCATGTGACTGTGGGATACCAAGGTACTTGTAGGCGGTCTGTGTGTCTATTTGGCCTTCTGGTTTTCACAGACATATTTTACAAGTCGCATCACAGATTTCAGAGTTGAAATAAAATGCTGGGTCATGAATTAGATTTAGTCTGACATCACACATGTTCATACTGTGATTTTTTTTTCAGATCTTCATCCTTTGATAAGGTACAGTATATAGCACCAGTTTTACCAGGTTATTTTTATTGTAGCACAGAACAAAGTCTGGTTTGAAGAGCTGGTTGGATAAATCACTGCGACACACAACTAACATGTTCCTGATCGACTCACCTGTCGTTAAAATGAACACTGCAGGGCTTGATTCTGTAAAAATGTCTCACACTGACGAGCTGCTTTTACACAGAAAACATTGTTTTATGAAACACTCTTAGAACAAATACTGAGGAGCCCTTCAGTTTAGTTTGACGAGTTTGTCCTAACTCAGATAAACAGAATTAAGCACAGTTTGAAGGCTGCAACCGGTGACTTTCTCTCTTTGTATTACCGTGCACAAACCCCATCCAGAGACCAGCAGCACCAGTAATGAGAGTCCAGACCTGGTCCAGCTTATCGCTCTGTGCCATAGACCTCCACTGTCGTCCACCAGCTATTAAAACCCCCCCAGTGAGCCACACCGCTGCACTGGGGGACAGGTTTCCTCCTCAGGAAACATGGGAGGCTGTCTGTTTCCAACAAACAGCTCGATAGGTTGAGAACGGCCTCACTGTGCACAGACTCACTGACCTCTGCTCCTCTGTTTACACTGCTCCACTCATACTGGAGAGAATGTGTTGGAGTGGCTTGTTGAAAACAGACAGGCATAGTAACACAAAGACTCAAAATCAGTGGCTGCATCCTTTAACTCCTAAACTGGAGCCAAGTTAACGATGGTGTGACACAGTCACGGGTAGTGAAACGCTGACCCAGAGTTAAAGCAGCTCATTCATGATGCACAGTGAATATACTGAGTGTCCGATTATTATTTGGGTGTATGTTTATTTTACAAGCACAATAAACTGTGTAGAACGAGGTGCATCATCCCCATCTCTGCGTTTAAATTGGGGCTCAAACATCCCAACAACTAATCACTGTCGTACAGACTGATCCAGGCACACCACCATGTTTGGTCTACATTTATTCAGCGTTCATATTTTCTCATTTAAGTTTAGCGTGGCTGGACCAGGAACACTCAGAGTTCTCCTTCCAGCTTGCCTCTTGTGTGTCATAGACCTCCTGTCAATAACAATCACATGATCAATAATCAAGCAATCACAACGATCCATCGACCATCACGAGGCTTTCTCACCTTCTTCCAGATGGGGACGTTGGCCTTCAACTGGGTGATGCAGTGCTGGATTGCCTGCTGGCTGTCATGGCGATGAGGAGATGAGATCGCCATGGCAACACTTGCCCCACCCACCTTCACCCACCTGAGGAGGAAGTGAGACATGAACACTAGTGGTTGGGCTCAGAGCGTGGTTAGGCACCGGCACCAGCATCTCACCCCAGCCGATGGTGCACGCAGATGTGAGTCACGCTTGGCCAGCGCTCTCTGATATCGGCACACAGTCTGGTGAACTGCAATTGGGCCATGGGCTCATACGCCTCGTACTCCAGACCAATCACTTTCCTTCCCTCCACCTCATCCTCTCGGGTTGTACCTGCGCACACACGCACACACACAATACAGTTTGAACTGATTTCCAATCACTAATTAAGTCAGAATATTCCACATATAGTAACTTCATTCTTCTTCTCCCTAAGACTTTTTTATTGAAATATTGAGACTTTTACATAAAATATATATAAAATCTTTTCCTTGGAAAACCTCCATTAAAATGTCCAAACTAATCTTCTATAATATTTAAATAAATTCCTCCCAAAATTTCACTTTATTAAAATATTAAAACTGTTTTCTTTAAAAACTGATGTCTCTCCAGATATTACTTTTTTTTTTCTCTCTGAAATACTACAACCTTTTTGAGGCACCCTGATAGCTGAATGGTTAAGGCAGCACACCACGCACACGTGCAACGAACATTGCCGGCCGTTCGATGCCCCCATATCATGTCCTCCTCTCTGCAACATACTGTCCAACAGCTCAAATGCCCCAAGAAGGAAATATTGCTACTTTTTCTGCCAAAAGACAAGTTTTCTGCTGAAATATTAAGACTTGATGAAGAAATATTACAACCCCACCTCCCAAAAATTACCCACTTGTAAATATTTCTCAACTTTGTACAGAAAAAAGTTTACAACTCAGAGATTTGAATTCTGTAGATAAACAGATATTTCTGCTGTTGAAATTAAAATAAAATATGAACCTATAAATACTGAAATAGCTCCACAAGAAGCGCTGCTGACGGCATCGACCACTTCCTGTACAGACAGCCAATCACAGCTCAGCTTGAAGATGTCTCTCCGCTCCTCCGACATCTCTGAGGAAACAAAGGTCATGAATATGTGAAACATGACCATCAGCACGTTTTTCACAACAACACGTTTACACAGTTCCCAGAGGCTTGATACTTCGGTAAAAATATTTGTTGAATCTATTTATCTATGCATTCATTCATTCATATATTCATTTTCTTGTATACTACTGAAATACTTGTGATATAAACAGGACAGAAAAAAATTTTTTCTCAAAATCTCCATCCATCCATCTTCCTCCAGAACCGGGTCGCAGGGGCAGCAGTCTAAGCAGAGACGCCCAGACTTCCCTCTCCCATTTCGGCCGCCTGTATCCGGGATCTTGCCCTTTCGGTCATGACCCAAAGTTTATGGCCTGTAATGCCCCTATGGCCTCGGACTTGGAGGTGCCAATGCTCATCCCAGCCGCTTCACACTCGACTGCAAACGTCCTGGTACACGCTGGAGGTCCTGGTTTGATGGAGCCAACAGGACAACGTCATCTGCAAAAAGCAGAGATGAGCTCCTGTGGTCCCCAAACCGGACTCCCTGGCTGCACCTAGAAATTCTGTCCATAAAGAACCAGTGACAAAGGGCAGCCCTGCCAGAGTCCAACATGCACCGGAAACAAGTCTGACTTACTGCCAGCAATGCGAACCAAGCTCCTGCTCTGGTCGTACAGGGACCGGATGGCCCTCAATAGAGGACCCCATAGTCCCGGAGCACCCCCCACAGGGCACCTTGAGGGACACGGTCGAATGCCTTCTCCAAATCTACAAAACACATGTGGACTGGTTGGGCAAACTCCCATGAACCCTCCACCACCCTGAAGAGGGTATAGAGCTGAACTTGTCTACAGTCTGCCTACAGTAAGGGACAAAGTCAAGGGCCCCTTCAAGGGGTACCAGACAGGCAACGCTGTAGGATCACTAGTGTTGCTTTCATCAATGAAAATTATGACTAAATATCGTCAACAAACCTAGTTCAGCTGACTGGCGACATCACTTCCTTAACCACCACTCGTGGCATTATTTAGAAGACGACAACAAACAAAGTTAAGTCTGACACAGAGAAAGGGACCGATGGCCGGCCAGCTGGGGTTCGTCATTGGGAGAAAAAGAAGAAACAACATTTGGAAAAACTTTCATTACATAGAAGTGGAAAAGAAAACAGTGTGTTGTGGAAAAAGATGGGGAGAAATGTGGCCACAAAATCACACAAAATGTATATTGGATGTATTCTTGAGTCTATAAAGTAACAATAATATGATAAGGTAACTTTGTTTGAAATGGGTTTGACTAAAAGAAACCTTTTGTTTCGTCTATACTACTAGGTACTTATACTATATTGACTGGGTTAAATAGAATTCCATTACTAAAAAGAGACTAAAAAACAACTTTCATTGAGTAAAACTAGACTAAAATGTCATCAGTTTTCGTCAACTAAAACTAGATGAAAGTAGTCATGGAGAGGATGCAGGCAAGATAGCGGACTGAGTAATAGATCTTTTTTCAGTCTCCACTATATTTACATCTGCGTCTAATGGCCATGAAGAAAAAAGGAAAAAAAGTACAGAAGAAGAAGACCCTCTCATCACAAACAAAGCTATTTTGTGAAGAGGATGTGCATGGCCTCTTTAAAAGGCAAAAGATCAGAAAGGCACCAGGCCCAGGTGGTGTGACTCCCTCCTGCTTGAAAGTGTGCGCTGATCAGCTGGCCTCCCATCTTCACACTTATCTTCAACAGGTCACTGGAGCTGTGTGAAGTCCCCTCCTGCTTCAAACGCTCCACCATCATTCCAGTCCCCAAGAAAACCCCCATCAGTGGACTCAATGACTACAGACCTGTCGCCCTGACATTTGTAGTTATGAAGTCCTTTGAAAGACTGGTGTTGGCCCACCTGAAGGACATCGTAGACCCCTGCAGTTTGTCTACCGGGCAAACAGGTCAGTGGACGATGCAGTGAACATGGCACTGCATTACATCCTGCAACACCTCGGCTCCCCAGGGACCTATGCACGGGCCCTCTTTGTGGACTTCAGCTCGGCGTTCATCACCATCATCCCGGACATCCTCCACTCCAAACTGACCCAGCTCACTGTGCTTGCCCCCACCTGTCAGTGGATTACTAGCTTTCTGACAGACAGGAAGCAGTAGGTGAGGCTGGAGAAAACCACATCCAGCACCCAGACAATCAGCACAAGCGCCCCCAGGGATGTGTGCTCTCCCCTGTGCTGTTTTCACTCTACACCAATGAGTGTATCTTGAAGGACCCCTCTGTCAAGCTCCTTAAGTTGCAGATAATACAATGGTCATTGGTCTCATCCGAGATGGTGACGAGTCAGCCTATAGAAGGGAGGTTGAGCAGCTGGTCCTGTGGTGTAGCTGCAACAACCTGGAGCTGAACAGGCTCAAAACAGTGGAGATGACAGTGGACTTCAGGAAGAGCACCGTCACCTTACCCCCCCTCACCATACTGGGCAGCACTGTATCAGCAGTAAAGTCCTACAAGTTCCTGGGCTCCACCATCTCCCAGGACCTGAAGTCCAATATCAGCGCCATCATCAAAAAGGCACAGCAGAGGATGTACTTTCTGTCCCAGCCCAAATGAGTTTTGGTTTGCTGAATGCCCCTTTCCACAAGCAACTGTGACTGGAAGTGTACAAAAATCTCAGGACTATGCAGACCTCTCAAAAAATGTTCTGAAATTGCATTATATAAACTGCATTTAAAAGAGTAAGAGGGGCTGAGTCGGGGGGAACACGGAAGAAATCACAGAATTCAAATGTCTTGTTTCTCTATCAAACTGAGGGTTGAGGTCTCCCGAGTACTTAATCACTCTCTGGGTTACTCTATAGCCCAGATTTCAAAGCATCACAGAGTGAGGGCTTCTTTAGGACCAATTGAGAAGGTTATATTCAGTTTCACATTGCACAAAGGTTTTAACTCACATTTCTATAATAGTCTGCAGAGCAGTACAGGGAAGCATACTGAGGCACACTGCAATGGGAAGTAGACCTTCAACAGGTTTACAATAAAAATGCCTGGAGGAGATCAATTCAGGCCACTCTCTTTTTCTTTGCAATAAATTCAAAAAGAAGATATTGCACAGACAATGTAGCATCATGAACAAAACGGGCCCTGATACACTTGTGCATTTAGTGCAAATTGAAAGCTGGCACATACATACAGTATATTGCTTTTGGAACTGCTCAAAAGTAGTTCTAGTCATGAATAACCAACGAATTTAATGCAATATTGAAACACAGGATTCATAAAGACCCTAATTAAGACTACCATCTGAAGTTTGATCTGTGAACTAACAGCCATTTAAACTGCTGCACAATATTTTTTTTCTTTTGGCAAGAACATACATACTAGTTAACTGGATTCATGAAAAACCTCCTACAATGACCCAATGGTATACAGAAATCTCTAGAGTGTTTCTAATAGAAAGGCTAAACACCAGAGTAAAAGAAAATGACCACAGCTTTATGTATGCATAGCAGCCATTTGCCTACACATAGTAGTAGTTGTGGAGTAATGAACATAACATACTACTCATACATATGATGTATAGAGGCGCACTTGTATATACACTGCATTTATTCGATAATACACAATTAAATGTGCCAGCTGAAGAGCATTCAAATGGAAGCTCAATATAAGTTAAGTGATGTTTACCTATTACTGTATCTGGCCAGAAAGGGGGATGTCAGGCCATGCTGTCATAAATTGTCAGATCCCCACAATAAGCAACACCATTTTCCAGACCTAACCTACCCTTAACACAAAGCATCCCTGAATCCTACCCTCACCCAGGCAAATAGCAGGTATATGTCTTGACATACAGCATTTGCATTGTATATGCTCAGGTTAAGCAGTGACTAGTTTGAGAGCCAGATCTATGGGTCCTGTGTGGGTTTAGGAGTGAAGGCAAACCTGCAGGGTCATCAGCTGGGCACCCTCTCACCAACTTTTGTTGAGTTAGGTTCACAACACCTAGAAGCCTTAACAGTGTTTCAACATCCCAACTTCTGCTTCCTTGTGTACTGCATCAGATCCCACCCAGTGTTGCTAATCACTCCAACAAACGAGTCAAACCTCTAACATGTCCTCATGTTAGCTTGCTTTTGCTAAGACCAGGAAGTAGTCCTCAAGCCTTCCCTGTTTTTACCCTAGTCATACAACTTTCTTCTGCTCCAAAGCCACTCACTGAATCTCACAGCTAGGTTCCTGACTCTGTCTTAGGCTCTGACTATTTATACCCAACCCACCTAGCAGAGCATGGCTACAAATCCCCTACAACGATCGTCCAATGGGCGAACCTTAACTTTCCAGTCACAGTCCTCTGCCTCCATGGTTAGCTTTATGTATTTCTGTTTTTTCCTTCAATAGGCTGTATCTACAGTGTCCTCCCAGGGAACTGTAAGCTTGACAAAATACACAGGCCACTGTGTTTGACCACAACAAAAGGTCTGGTCCTAGGTTAGTGCTGACTATTTTCTCAGGAATTATGAACTGATTCCCTAAATCTACTTTCATTTGCCTATCTCCACCTGCCTTTAGTTGGCCTGCATCCTGCTTGTTCACCCTCATGAACAAACAAAATACCCTACTAGTAAACATTTCAGCACTTGATTACTGTATGGCTCCAGATGTATCGCCAGGCTTGTTTTACACCCTGAGAGGATGTGACATAGGGAAGCTACACCTGAACACAAGGGTCATGTTGGTCCTCTCCTATCCATCTATTCAGATTTTGGGGAGATGAAAGCACATCTTAAATTACGCCTAGAATAAAACTAATCTTTCCTGCCTCCATGTCCCACATTTGCCTCCAACTAAGTTTCTTCCATTGTTTCATCTCATCCACAGTCCCTGCTGGGCCTAGGAGACTGCTTTTGCACATCTACCTACCTCTTCTTGCCCTCTAATCCTCAGTAATCATCTTCCTTCCCTCAGCTGCTGCTGCTTTACTCCAAGAAGTGTGATTTGCTTAGACCAAAATCACAAAGCCACTATGTCCATGCTGTACTTGTCTTACAATATCCCTATGTTTAAGAGCTGCCTGAGCCTGCAAAACTGCCTCCTTCAGGTTCCACTTCTTTCTTGCTGAGATTGTTGGTGCTGCACTCTGCACTGCTACATCCCTGGACAGGGCTATCTCCAATCTAGCCTTAGCACATTTAAACTCCTCTGTTAAACTAGTTATAGGGAGATCCAAAAATCTGTCATGGTCTGGGGTTGTGTCAGTGCCCTCATATCAACTCTGTGGATGACAACATCAAATTCACTCGTGAGGATGCCAGAGATGACTGTCTGGCCTTTCTGGATTGTGCAGTCCACTTGGGAGGGGACAGAAGTCTGAAGGTAGAAGTATATCGGAAACCTACACACAAGGACCAATACCTGCTTTTTGACTCACACCATCCACTTCAACACAAACTGGGAGTCATCAGAACTTAGAGGAAGTGCTCACAACTGCAGAAGGGGCCAAGAAGGAGAAACTACACATCCAGAACTCCCTTACAAGGAAGAAAACAAGAAAGAGGCCCAACACCAACAGGGATAAACCAGAAACAAATGGACTGTATTTTATATAGTGCATTTTTCTCACAGTGTGTTGCACTGGCCAAAGCGCTTTACAGGAGATGATACACCATTCACCCATTTACACACAACATTCATACACCGATGAGACAGGCTGCCACACAATGGCGCTTGTCAAGCCACCAGGAGCAATTCGGGGTTCAGTGTCTTGCTCAGGGACACTTAGGCATGC